CCTTGACAGAGGAGGGAGCAGCTGGGGGGACAGTTTCCTGGGTTGTATTCAGTGTGAGAGACCCAGGGAGGAGAGTATGGAGCCAAAGAGGGCTGCAGAGCCATCATATGGGTATCTCTGAAGGCTGAGTGTTGGGAGTGGGCCATCATAGGGCAGGGGCACAGCTCTAACCTGGGCATGGAAGAGGCTGATGCTTCACCCGTAGTTCTCAAACTTGAGGATGTGTCAGAATCACCTGGAAGGCTTGCTCAGGTGCGGGTTGCAGAGAGCACTCCAGAGTTTCTGATTCAGTCGATTGTGGGGTGGGGAGCCTAGAACTTGTGATCCCAACAAGATCCTCAATTATACCCTTGATGCTGACCTGGGGACCACATTTGGAAGTCACAGCACTAGAAGAATGCCTGACATTAGACCCATGATTCTCAGCTTTGGATGCAGTAGAATCACCTGGGGCTGAGGATGTGGCTGTGTATCGGGATTGCAACTGAGCAAAACACTGATTTGGTCAAGGCTGACTTAGAAAGTGTAACAAGGCAAACTTTCCTTGAGCCTGTGCTGTGTTCTGGGCACTGTGTTGGTGCAGAGGATATAAAGATGGACAGGACACAGTGCGACTCTCAGAGCCATAAGTACAGTTTACAGAACACATGGTTCTGAAACCACAGGGGACAGAGGGATGGAGTCAGCCACAGAGCGATATGGAAGTGCTAAGGGGGCTAGTGCTGTGGCGCAGCAGGTTAACACCCTGGCCTGAAGTGCCGGTATCCCATATGGGTGCCAGTTCGAGACCTGGCTGCTCCTCTTCCAATCCAGCTCTCTGCTATGGCCTGGGAAAGCAGTAGAAGATGGTCCAAGTCCTTAGGCCCCTGCACCCACGTGGGAAACCTGGAAGAAGCTCCTGGCTCTTGGCTTCGGGTTGGCACAGTTCCGGCCGTTGTGGCCAATTGGGAAGTGAACCTTCAGAAGGAAGACCTCTCTCTCTCTCTGCCTTTTCTCTCTCTGTGTAACTCTGCCTTTCAAATAAATAAATAAATTTAAAAGGGGGGCGGGCTAAGGAAGAGTATCTAATCCAGCTTGGAGAGGGAAGAGAAGGTGGTTTAGAAGGGGTTTGGGAGGAGATGGCAAAGTGGCAGTCCTGTCCATCGTTTTAGAAAGTCCAATTGATTTGCCTGTATTTGGTAACACATGAGGCTTTCTTGGAGCCACGGCAGAGTGCTAACCTGTACCTAAAACCAAACCCATGCTTCACCTCTTCCTAGATGTCCAGCATTGGACAGATTATCCAGCCCTCCTTGCCTCTCTCTCCCCATGTTTAAAGGGGGAGCAATAATATTTTCTCCTCCCTAGGGGTGTTGTGAGGGCTGAAGGACACGATGCCTGTGCAGTGCTCGGTCCTGAGAAGGTTCACACTTTGCAGACCATGGTTCACACCCTCCAAAAGCTGAAAGTCTAGCAGGTACTAGATAGGTGCCTGCTATCATCAGCATTTCTGAAGGACCCATTGAAAGCCCCAGTTATGTCTCTCATCACCAGGTGGGGTGGGGTCAGGTGGACTTGTCCTGAGAGCAGGGGTGCCAGCATTCACTGGCTCCTGGGATGCTCAGGGTTCTGTTCCTGATGCTAAGTGCTCCCACGCTCCTCTAACTTTCTTTCTTTTTCTTTTCTTTTTTTTCTTTTTTTTTTTTTTTTTGACAGGCAGAGTGGACAGCGAGAGAGAGAGAGAGAGGTCTTCCTTTGCCGTTGGTTCACCCTCCAATGGCCGCCGCGGCCGGCACGCTGCAGCCGGCGCGCTGCGGCTGGTACACCGCACTGATCCAATGGCAGGAGCCAGGTACTTATCCTGGTCTCCCATGGGGTGCAGGGCCCAAGCACTTGGGCCATCCTCCACTGCACTCCTGGGCCATAGCAGAGAGCTGGCCTGGAAGAGGGGCAACTGGGACAGAATCCGGCACCCCGACCGGGACTAGAACCCAGTGTGCTGGCGCTGCAAGGCGGAGGATTAGCCTAGTGAGCTGCGGCGCCGGCTTCTAACTTTCAAAGTCTCACATCCATGTTTTACTTTGCATGTTCTTCCTTCTGTCTGTGTATCTGTCCTTGGCAGTTACTGCCGCTTTGACATGGCTGCTTTTTACCTACTATAGGCAAGAAACCCAAAAAGCCCAGAAGGTGTGACTGTGTCTGGGATGTGGGCCGACTTTGCGGGAGACATGTCTCCCAGGAAGAAGGGATTCCTTTGTGCATGGCATGCTTGGATCTCAGAGGCCCTGTCTGTTGTTTCCTGTACTCCCAGCAGTGTTTGAAGGCCCAACTTTGCAGGATGGAAGCTTTCCTGCTGAGGGAGACAGGGTTGCATGGTCTAGACTGGCTGCTGCCTGGGCTGCACAGTGGTTCTCGTGGCTGTGGGATCACAGTCTACGGCACACTCTTGGTTAAAACCATATGTGTACCCCAAGCCTCCCAATCACGTTGTTACCTGCCTCCAGAGCCTCTCTTCTCAGGAATTTGGACCTATGTCCCATCTGTTGGGTGGCTCCCAGGTGCCTTGGTCCACCTTCACCTGAGCTTGCCAGCCACAAGTCCCAACCTGCTCTCCATTTCCAACACTATTTATGTTGGCTAAATATTGGCACAAGCAAGTCATATGCTTGGCAGGTTCACAAGCACCAGGGCGGATCACTGAACAGCTGTTGGAACATTTACAGTTGGTTCTCGCTTGTGGGCGCTCCCCGTGACACCTGCTCTCATCAGCAGTGTGCGGGGCTGTTTTGTAAGGCTGATGGTAGGCTCCCATTCGGTGTTTCTCACACTCTGCTGCACACTGAGATCGCCTGGGGGGAGCACTTACAAATCCTGACGTCTAGGACAGCTGCCAGACCAATAAACACACACTCTCTGAGGGAGGGACACAGACATCAGTGGTTTTTAGAACTCTGCTGGTGATTCTAGTCTGTAGCCAAGTTTGAGAACTTGTTTCCCAGGCCAGGGCTTCTCGAAGTTTGATGAGCAAGAGACTCACTTTAGGATCTCGTTAAAAATGCAGACTGCCATGCAGTGGGCCTGGGTGGGCCTGAAAGTCTGCATTTCTAACAGGTGCCCAGTCCATGTGGATAATGCTGCTTGCCCAAGGACAACACTTTGAGGAGCAATGTGGCTGTTCCCCAGCCTTGCAAATGCTTTTCCAGCTGTCGTTAGTACTTTTGAGTTTATGATTATATTTCCACGTGGCTCCCCTAAATTTTACTCCCAATTGTTTGGCCCGTAACCAAAAGCTTAGGTATTAAGCTTTAAAGAAAACTGAATATTGATCTCTATTCTCTCACTTCCTCTCAAAAACAATCACACAATAGAATAGAACTGAAGAGTTGTTAAGGAAAAGCCGAGCAGTGTTTTCTGTGGATCTCGATTTTTTTTCTATGCACAATATGCAGTTCATTGGGCAAGAGGACAAGAAAATTCTGAGAATTGTGGAATCTAGCAGATGTTCATAACTCATCGTCATAGTTACTGCCACCATATAGTTTCGTCACAAACGCTAGGTCTCCAATTGAAAAAATTACTCGTGGTGGCGAAAGAATTGGGGAAAGCACAAAGCCAAAGTCACTTTGAGTGTCAGTACTGTCTAGGATTCCAGATCACAGAATCTTGGAAAATGTTATTTCCTGGCCAATATTCTATTGGCTTTATAACAATATTTGTCAAATACTTATCCATGAACCCTGGTCTGTGGCGATGCTCTTGGGGATTCAAAACTTTTCAAGGAAAGTTTTAAAATAATGAATTTATAGGCTGGCACTGTGGTGCAGTGGGTAAAGCTGCTGCCTGCAGTGCTGGCATTCCATATGGGCACTGATTTGAGTCCCGGCTGCTCCACTTCTGATCCAACTCCCTACTAATAAGCCTGGGAAAGCTGTGGAAGATGGCCCAAATGCTTGGGCCCTGTGCCCATGTGGGAGACCCAGAAGAAGCTCCTGGTTTTGAATAGGCCTAGCTCTGGCCATTGCAGCCTCTGTCCCTCTGTAACTATGCCTTTCAAATAAATAAATAAATCTTTAAAATAGTGAATTTAATGCTGATAATAGCTTAGAAATTATTATAAAGCACACTGGAATATCAGGATGAGCAAGTACTGGCACAAGATTTCAATGCCTACACTTTTGTGTGTATTTTTGATTGTTTAGATGTGTCACAGGCTAGTGATAAAAGAACAGAGAACAGAGGAAGGTACAATATAAAAATCACATGTTTGAGCCAAGAGAAGGCTGACGAGACCTTTCAAATGGAAGTTTCTCAGTGGTTGAACACAGGAATGGGATAAAAGAACTAAAAGTCACTCACCACATCATATTCTAGACTATCTAAGGCTCAAAATGAAAAAAATCCCAACATCATACAATCAGTGTCATTTTATGTTGAGGACAGCAATTTTATCTCAACAAAATAACATTGTCTACTACACTAAATCAGTAATGTACACATAAACACCACGGATTTGTCTCCTAGGAATGTTTCATTTGTACGTTTGGTTATCTAGTAGCTTCAAAGCCATCAGCATTCTAGTTTTAGTTTGTACATAATCAAGTCACTTTCTAATGAATACAATTTTAGCCATTACTGGGAATTTTTAATCCCTGAATAAGATTTTGCATTGACTTTTAAAGCATGTATTCATTCCCCATGGACGTGTTCAACTCCCTCCCCCTTTTCTGAAATGCCACAGGGGCCAAAGCATGCCCTCAGCACTTGATTCCAGGGGGTTGTTGATGGGAGACAAGTGGGAATACCAGCAGAGCTCCCAGAAGGTAACACTGTTACATTGGCTGTAAATAGTGTAACAAACATTTGCCAAGGGGGAAAAAATCTCCGTGCTTGGAAATCTTGCCTGATGGGGAGATTTCCAGGCCAGGGGAGGGAGGAAGGTCCAACATGACCAGTGCATGGTGAGTAGCAGCGGGCACATGCGAGAGCCCAGACACGACATGCAGGGGAAATAAGGTGCTTACGGGCTGTGGGGCCTCTGGCTTTCCATTCCCTGATAGGTGGCTGAGAGGCTGCGTGGCTGCCGAGGGTTGGGTGTCCCCTTTGGGCAACTGTTGACTGCCTTCTGAGAGCGAGTAAGACTGGCTCTGAAGATTCAAAACAGAAATAATGTCAAAATGTCGGCCCATCCTCAGAGGCCAGCGGCCCCGCGGGGCTGCCTTTGCAAGCTCAGCCCCTCTGCCCTCCTCGGCTGCTTTGCAGGGGCCAGGGAGTATTCCTGACGACCTCTGCATCTGTCAGAAGTCTTTCCAAAGGAGGTTTCAGTTTCTCTGACCGAAATGCAGAATGGATGACTCGAAATCTTGCCTAGTAAGAAAAGACTGTTCACAGATGGTCTCGAAAAATAATGTTTCTGAAGCAAGCAGGTGTAGGGTTGCAGACTTCTGACTGTAGGTGTAATATGAGGCAACTTCAAAGAGTTCAAGGCAACTAGAATTTGAAGATAAGCTTGTTTCGTGACGGAACATTTTGAAATCCATGCATTTGGAGGGCCTTCAGAAAGTCCATGGAAATGTATTACGAAGAATCGATGCATGGATTTCAAAAATTGTTTTGCATCAGAATAAACTATCTTTGCATCCTATCCACAAGCAATTTGAAGTACCCTCATAGATAGCCAAGGAAAAATGCTAGGGACAAAGTTACAGCTTACAGAAAATTCTGGGGTTTTATTCCAGTCATTTCTAGTGTAGGTGCAATTTGCCATTCTTTGCTGTGGTCCATAAAACTGTATTAAAGTTCTTATTGAAATAGCTCTTGATATACATTTTTAAATACAAAATATCAAAATTCTTAACTGTCTTGGGCATAATTGGTTGCCAATGGCAATGTTCTAATCATAAACAGCTTATGCAGTGTTCTCTAGCCTACCTATTTAGAAAGAAAAGTAAGGTATTAACCTCATCTCATGGATGTTTGCAAATATCTGAAACCTCGACGCTGTTTAGAAATAATAGTGGAATATTTTCTCCCTTCAATCTAAGCTATATGGCCTTATAGAAGTATTTTTAATTTGTTCTTCTGATGTTTGCAACATGCATCTATCTCTCCCACAAAACTCTGGATGGGCATAGTCTACAATGCTTTGTGTGACATGGCTACAAACATTCTATAAATACCTCTTAACCATTCACTGTCTACAAGACTGTTTACTGCTTATTTTAAACATTTCTCTTTCCCTGCTGAGAGAGTTTTGGCCAAATGGAGGAAAGTTATTTATTGAATGCCTTTCAAAAGCATAGTAGGCTATTGCTCAACCAGTCAAGGATAATCATACTGACAAAATGTAAAAATATCAATCATGATTTCATCCTTTAAATTCTTCCCCATGCTAACCAAAGCAAACAGGGATTCCCAAAGGCAGTGAGTACTTACGTGACGATTGCCCATGTTGGTTTTCCTGAGGTGGTGGTTCTGTATTTCATTAAGAGATCAGCCCTCCTACAGACAAAGTTTATAATGGTTTTCCCAGGGCATAATATCTCTTGCGTTTAATAAGTAACTTTGACATTGAGTTTGAATACATTGTTGGGGATGGGTAGGGAGTGGTGATAGCTACAAATGAGCTGAAACTGCACAGGCTGTCTTAGGAGGCTTTCATTTTAAGATAAAAATTCTTATTCATAAATAAGATTTATCCCTTTTATGTTATTCATAACTGAAAGGTTAAAACTGCCTTACTTCTGGATTGTTGAAAAAGGTCCGATTTCACCTTTTGGGTATTCATTTAAAATTGTAGGCATTTTAATATTAAAAGCATTAATCAATGGACTGAAAGATCTATTTTACTCATTATAGAGATTTTTAAAGGCAATACTGAGTCATACTGGATCATTATTTTTACAATTTAACTCATTTTTTAGTTTTAAAAAGTAGTATATGCAGGTAACATTCTTTAAATAAGACAGAAAGGCTAACCTCCCAGCCCCTTCTCCCCTGAATTTTTTATGAGTCCTTCCAGATGTGGTTTGTGCATATATAGCCTTGTCTGTCTGTCTGTCCATCCATCTATCAACCATCTAACTCTGGCCTCAATAAATGGGTGTATCTGATGCAATCTGTTCCATACCTTGCATGTTTCCTATTCTAAAGAGAAGTGTGGGGGTGAGTGTGGTGGCATAGCAGGTTAAGCCGCCTCTTGGGATGCTCACATCAAATTTTGGGATGCCTAGGATTGAGTCCTATCTTCACTTCTAATCCAGCTCCCTCCCTGCTAATTCACCTAGGAAAGCAGCAGAGGATGGCCCAAGTCCTTGAGCCCCTGTCACTGTGAGAGATCTGGGTGGAGCACCAGTTTCCTGGCTTCAACCTGGACCAGCCCTAGCCATCGCAGCCATTTGGGAAGTGAACCGGCAGATGGAAGATTTCTCTCTCTCTCTCTCTCTCTCGCTTTCATTCTTGCTCTTTCTCTAGCTTTTTTCTCCCTTCAAATAAAGAAATAAATCTTTAAACAGGATAACATTCCACTCAGTCTGAATACATGGTGTTGATTACTAGAGGCTGGGAAGGGGTGGGATGGACAGAAGGAGCTTGGATAAAAAAAATAGGGGAAGCTGAGTTTGGTCATAAATTGTGACAAATATACTAATATGAGACATTACCAATAGGGGAAGTGGGTGAGGGTACATGGGAACTCTGTATTACCTTCACAATTTTTATTTTGTGATTTTAAAACTATTCAGAAATGTTACAAAAAGAACAAAATTTCAATATCCATTAAATGTTGCCAAGTTGTCCTCCTCATAGACATAAAATGCTGGACCATTCTCAAAGGCCAGTTGGCCCATGGGGCTCATTTTCAAATGACAGAATTTATGCCCCCTATGATAATACCCCAGTGTTAATTTCTCACTGGCCAACACTAACATTATCAAACATTTCTGCTGATTTTGAAGATGCAAACATGGTTATTTCATTGCTTAATTTACATTTCTTTCATTTGATAGCCTTAAAATTATATATCCCAGTCCTTAAAAACTATTTGTATACATTTTTCTTTGGTTTGCTTTTTCATGTTCTTTATTTTTCTTTTGAGTTATTAGTCATTTTTGTTTGAAAAGCATTTTATTTATAATAAAATCTAAGCCTGTGCCAAATGTAATGATTACTTTTCCCTAGTTGTCTTTGTTCTTTGTTTATGTTTTGAGTGTGTATGTGGTGGGGTGGGGGAGGGGGACATGGTAGTTTTTTTTTTTTTTTTTGGACAGGCAGAGTGGACAGTGAGAGAGAGAGACAGAGAGAAAGGTCTTCCTTTTGCCATTGGTTCATCCCCCAATGGCTGCTGCGGCCGGCACATCGTGCTGATCTGAAGGCAGGAGCCAGGTGCTTCTCCTGGTTTCCCATGGGGTGCAGGGCACAAGCACTTGGGCTATCCTCCACTGCACTCCTGGGCCACATCAGAGAGCTGGCCTGGAAGAGGGGCAAACGGGACAGAATCTGGCGCCCCAACAGGGACTAGAACCCGGGCTGCCAGCGCCGCTAGGCGGAGGATTAGCCTATTGAGCCGCGCGCCGGCTGATAGTTTTTATGTACTCAAGTACATCCATCTTTTCTTCTCTGTGTTGCTTAGAAAAACTTGTGCATTAAGAAGCTTAAATCATATATTTCCCTCCAGGTTCTTTTAACAGCTTCATTTCTTAGAGCTCGCATCATTGATTCATTTGGGATTGGGCTTGATTAGGGAAGGAAGGGACTCTGTTTAATCAGATGATCTTAGATAGTTATTGAATAATTCATCTTTCCTGTATTGGCTTAAGATGCCATCTTTGTTTTATGCTGAATCCCCAAGTAACACGGGATTAATATTCTATCTAGATTTAGTAAGACTTAATTGTATATGGTTGTTCCTGTATTCCTGGCATGTGCCTTGGATGAACAGTCGCAGGGACTCCATGTGTGAGGACAGATGTGGATCTCTTCTTCCTAGAATGCGGGGTCAGATTTCTTCACATTTCAAATACAAGAAAGAGCTGGTCGAGCGTGGTCATAGGAGCTCTGAAAGGAGGTACACAGAATGCTCTAACAGATGCCAACCTGGGTGTGCGTAGCGTAAACTACTTTAAAGGAAGATAAGGCCCCTGGAGGAGCGAACATTTGAGCTGTCAATTAAAGGATGATCAGGAATTATTCATTTGAAAAGAGAAAGTGCTCCAGATAAAATGTCCTTAGCTTGTGTGAATGCTCGAAACAGGAAAGAGCTTTGCAAGTTGGAGAAAGTTCGAGATGACCCAAGTGATTGGGGTGAACACGCAGACTCTCTTATCCGGGAACTGACAGTGGAATGCGGGAGGGAACAAGAGAACCTAGATTAACAACCACTGACTGTTTGCTACTCTTTTTTCTTTAGTGTCTGATTGCTGCTTTTTCGTCTACTGCTTCCTTTGGCCAGCCCCAGACTTCTTCTTGTGGCCAAGGCCTTCCTGCCCCATGTCGGGCCTGGCTTTGTGTGTCACTTCTGTGTCACTAACCCTTCCTAGGGAGCCCCTGATAAGTGACGTCTCCTTCTTGCCCTCTCTCCCTCCCTCTTTGTCACTAGCTTTGGAAGTCCAAAGGTCAGCAGGAGCAGCTCATTGAGATAAGTTCTGACCAAGGGTGCCGGGTTACTGAGCATGAGAAAAACCTGTTAAAGAAGAGATACAGTTTATGGCTCCAGGGAGGTGAAAGATAGACGGCTGGGAGGCCAAGTAAGAAAAAGACACACCTGGTTAGTTTTCTAGATTACTGTCCCCATAGATTATTGAGATGTGCGCCTGGAGTATTCAAATGTGCCTTCAATCGAGATTCCATTTGACTGAAATGGCTCCCCCAGCTGTCTGGGTCCCTAGGAAGGCAGCTGGGGTCACTTCTGGCTACAGCAGTGGGGAAGGTAGGAAGGGCCTGGGAGGATGTGATGTTGGAGGCTTAGAGAGGAGAAAGAGAACTGTCTGGGAAGAGACAAAAAGTGTTGGAGGGTAACACTATAAATATTTAGTGATTATTAAGTTATAACAGTGCTGTGTGATAGCTCTCTCTACTACATTGGTCACATTTATTTACATCTCTTGGATCTGTGTGGCTCATCTAAATGCTGATGCTGCCCATGGAGTTGGGAGCATATGCTGGCTGCAGGGTAGAGCTCAGAGAGCAGCCCAAGGATAACCTACATCCCATACCATATGGGACTTTGCTGCCTAAGAAAGAATTATTCCATCCCTTGAGCGAACAGTGTCCCCCACCCCCATTGAGAAACACCTGTGGGGAAAGACCCTGTCTCTCCACCTTCTTTCCATTGATAGAGCTGTATCTGCAGATCAAGAGCAAAGGAACTTCTGCAGCGCTCCCAGGATGTTTTTGTTTTTAAAGATTTATGTATTTAGGCCGGTGCCGCAGCTCAATAGGCTAATCCTCCACCTAGCGGCGCCGGCACACCGGGTTCTAGTCCCGGTCTGGGTGCCGGATTCTGTCCTGGTTGCCCCTCTTCCAGGCCAGCTCTCTGCTATGGCCCGGGAGTGCAGTGGAGGATGACCCAAGTGCTTGGGCCCTGCACCCCATGGGAGACCAGGAGAAGCACCTGGCTCCTGCCTTCAGATCAGCGCAGTGCACTGGCCGCAGTGCGCTGGCCGTGGCGGCCATTGGAGGGTGAACCAACGGCAAAGGAAGACCTTTCTCTCTGTCTCTCTCTCTCTCACTGTCCATTCTGCCTGTAAAAAAAAATTTATAGGGTGAACCAACAGCAAAGGAAGACCTTTCTCTCTGTCTCTCTCTCTCTCACACTGTCCACTCTGCCTGTAAAAAAAAAAAAAAAGATTTATGTATTTATTTGAAAGATTTACACACAGAGAGAGGTCTTCCATCTGCTGGTTCACTCCCCAAATGGCCACAAGAGCAGGTGCTGTGCCAATCTGAAGCCAGGAGCTAGAAGCTTCCTCTGGGTCTCATGTGGAGGCAGGGGCCCAAGGACTTGGGCCATCTTCTGCTTTCCCAGGCCATAGCAGAGAGCTGGATCAGAAGTGGAGTAGCCAGGACTGAAACTGGCGCCCATAAGGGATGCTGGCACTGTAGGCAGCAGCTTTACCCGCCAGCTCCACCTAGGATTTTAAAGTCTGTAAAACCTGACAAATGCAATGCTCTTGTTACTGTGACACTGGGAAGGTGTGGAAGATAGGGTGTGTATAAATAGACTTGTAGGATTAGAGGGGAAAAAGCATTTAGATAACCCCTTTCATTCTACAGATTAGAAAATTCAGGTCCAGACAAGCCACATGGCTTACCCAACGGCAGCCAGCTAGTTAGTAGAAGAGCCAAGAGGCTGAGAATATGTAGAGAGAACCATCCTCGGGTTTCCTGGCCATAGCACTTTCTGGAGTGTACAAACTTGGCCTGAGGTAATGGCAGCATGTTGTGAGCAGGTGCTTCAAAATAT